CTAACTACCTGCCCTTTCCTTCCCCCTGCCATTTTCTCTAAATTTAGGAGGTCAAAAATACATTGAGGGTAAATGAATAGAGAAAAATATATTGGCTGTGTCTAGACTGGCATGATTTTGTGCAAATACTTTTAACGGAAAAGTTTTTCCGTTAAGTATTCGCGCAAGAGAGCGTCTATACTGGCATGTGCCTTTGCGCAAAAGATTTGCTTTTGCGCAAAAGCATCCGTGCCAGTGTAGATGCTCTCGTGCGCAAGAAAGCTCTGATGGCCATTGTAGCCATCAGGCTTTCTTGCGCAAGAAATTAACTTGGCTGTCTACACTGGCTCTCTTGCACAAGAGGGCTTATCCCTGAGCGGGAGCATCAGAATATTTGTGCAAGAACCACTGATTTTGTACATTACAAAGTCAGTGTTCTTGCGCAAATACTTGTAGACAGGAGGCAAGATTTTGCGCAAGAACAGCTGCTTTTGTGCAAAATCATGCCAGTTGAGATGCACCTTTTGTGATTAACTTCAGGTGCTTTTATGTGTTAAACACAGTTGGTACTTGATTCCTTTCATGCCAGTCTAGATGCAGCCATTGAGTTCATATTCACAGAAGAAAAGAATGTACTTTACAAATATTTTGTGTGGTTGAAAATTTTTCCTAAAAAAAGTTTTCTCTGTGCATCAAAGTTAACCCAAGCCACCTTTGCTATTTCATTGTCCCATTTCCTGCATGGACTGTAAAATGTGGAGACTTTGCAATATGGAAAACAAACTATATTAAGTACTTAATTCTAGTGGTGACTCTGATCGTGCATAGGCCCTCTGCTCTCATTTAACCAAGGGAAGAGGCCAGTTCAACCCAGAATACAATTATTTTTAAATGTCAGAAAATAGTGGTGGTATATATGGGTATACACTGGATTGTTTAGGTTCAAACGCTGGTGATAAAGAATATTCAAGTGGTAGTGAAGTCATGGGATGCTGATGTCCAAGGCTTGTAGAAATAGGAAATATTTATTATTGGTGGGTTAATATGTCATCCATTCTTGGACAATTTTTACAAGGGAGGTCACTCAATTGACTGAAGGGACTAAGCTTCACCATCAGTCTGCCTCCTTTTACCATCTCATAAGGCACAACCACCACCACTGGACCCTCACCATCCTGAAACACACACTACCCTTACTATATCAATAAGAGGGAATCAGTGCTATCATCTGCCTTGGCTAACTCTTGAACTGGAACGTGAGAGGTGCTGTAACTACTACCCCTGTGCATCCTTTTTCTTCCTCACTTTATTCTTTCCCTTCTCTCTTACCCCATCTAATAAGAGTCTGGGGGACACCCAAATTGCCCTCATATTTAGTAACACTGCTGTAAGCCTAAGCCATAAGGCAGCTAAAACTTGTGTCATGAACAGCTCAGTGCTGATATAAGTTTGACACAGTGGCTAAGAGTGAATTGTGCCTATCTCACTCCAAAATAGTGTTAGAAGCAGAAGGTGCATTTTTTTCTCTGCTCTTTTGTGTTTTTGTCTTCAAGGAAACCAAACCAAACATAATCCCCCCACTCCGCCAGCTTTAAGATTATGAAACAGGAATTTTTCATGTTAAAAACTTCACAACTAAAGAGATCAATATTGTTAACACAAAAGCCTTTTTTGTTTCAAATGCACTCAAATGTTTCCTTTTTCCTGCATTTTTAGTAACAGATTAAATAGATCATGGTTACAGTGGAAATAAGTCCACAACTTCACACAATACTACAGAGCCTCTTAACTACTTTGGTTGTAACAGTGAATACTTGGTTTCATTAATGAAACCAAGTATTTTATATATCCTACTGGGCCTGAGAGAACACTCCTACTTTTTCAAAACAACATGTAGCCAATGGTTTTGATAGGACTAATTCTCCATTGGAATTCGTGTCATTTTCAATTCCTCCCTGCAGATCTGGACCATGTATAATTTGTAAAGTGTTTTATCTCTGTTGGTCTGTGCAACAAGCTCTGTACCTGATTAAGAGACAGGCTCAGAACAATTAACAGTGATTGTAGCCACGTGAGACATTCTCTGAAGATTATTCATGTCATGAAAAACTTAATTTATAAAAAATACAATTATCTTTAACCAATTTCAAAGCAGTAACAAATGAGAAGTGAAGGGGGTTAGCATTTTGCTGCACAAAAGCAACGGGAGGATACAGATGTATGGGAAACCCTCTCCTTTCCTCTTGGTCTGTATGTTTTTGGAAAGATGGAAAAAGCTTTGTGTTGGTTTGATAAGTTTGCAGGTTAGATGCATCTAGTCTGTTTTTATTGTTTGCCAGAGGCAAACAATAAAAGCAAAGTCTCAGAGGGGTAGCTGTGTTAGTCTCTAAACTGCTGCAGGACCAGTCATTGATCCAGTTTTTTCAGTTAGATTAACAGAAAATGTAGATAGTATCATGAACTCTCGTGTGCACAACCCACTTCTTCAGATGAAATGGAGCAAAGGGTCCAGAGGCACATATAAATAGCACTACTTAGCTATTTATTTGCATCTCTGGACCCCTTGCTCCATTCAACTGAAGAAGTGGGTTGTGCACACGAGAGTTCATGATTTAAAAAAAAAATGTAGATAGTGTTAGTCTCTAAGGTGCTGCAAGACCATTTGCTGTTTACATTTTAACAGTAGCAAAGGTTGATGATACCAAACCCAGCTTGGCCATTGTTGAGTTTTTGCCAAATTTTAGAGGAGGCTAAAAAAAACCCCATAAATGTGAAATTGATGGGTTTTGCTTTTAAGGATTTGCCATGGACTTTTTTGCAACATTGTGTGATACTGTATGATAAACATTTCAATAAAGCTTGATACTACATACTTTGCACTAGATATTTTAACTTTTATTCCTATATCCTGCAGCATTTTACAAAGGTATGTTCTGTACAGTGTTCCCTATAAACTAGGGGTGTGGTTGGCTGTTCCGGAGAATTTCAAATGTCGCCTAGCTGATTTGCAAAGTGCCCACAGTTGGAATTTTTGTTTCTAGTGGTGGTGTACATACCTCAGTACACAAAACATTATTCCACACATGGATGGAAAAGATTAAAAGGAACAATGGTCCTATCCCCACTCTACTGGTGAGGAAAGATGCAAAAGGTTACATGATTTGTTCAAAAAGTCAGTAGCTGAATCAAAAAATCTGATTGTTGAGGTTGTTGGGAACAACAAAGATATGGTAATAGTTTTATTTGTACACAATTCATATTTACAATTATCACTATTCAATATATTGTATAAAACAATTACAGTATGCAAGATTTCCAAATGACAAATGCATATCAAACTAAGTTTACAAGACATTTTGAAGCTTTATCTTAAAAATACCTTCAGCAAAATAAAACTCCCATTCTGTCATTCAATCTGATTTAAAAAAATATGATTAGAAATATACAATTTAAAAAAATCAGGATGAGCAGTACTGATTCATTGTTTCAAAGAACTTTCCAGACTCTGTATATGAGTTCATACAAGACAAATGAAAGTCTGCAAAGCATTAATATAAAATTGCAGAACAATCTGATGAACATAATTGTTGATTTTTATTTCCACTTAAAAGGTGCATCTCATTTTATACAAACCATAGTCTTAGTGTTTTTTTGTCCAGTCTTTAAAAACAGCAGCACATCTGCAGCACTTTCCTATTTACAGTCAGAACAACAGGTCAAGATCTGGAAGTAACTTAATATAAATTACTGATGCTTTGCTGACAGAAAGCAACTTTGACCCTAGATGTACCCAAATAGTTACTATGTATTTTAAGTAGGATTTTCACTATATATAATCTCACTATAAAAAGGCAGATGGGAAACATGATAGGCCACCCTTTCCTAAAATCTTCTCTCTGACTGCATAGATTTCTCTGGGTCTCCAGCTGTTTTACATGTACATTCTATTTGGCATACTTGCGCAAGTCTTTAGGAAAGACGTTTTCTTCCCTTGCTTTCAGAATTGTGTGTAGACAACTTTGGTTCATACAGTGCAAATGCAAGGCAAATTATCAGTCAAAGTACAAGCTAAACGTTAAAATTGAGGCTATGAGGAGATAAAGTTGATCACTGAATAGCAAGGCTGATTTGAATAGTCAAATGCAGAATGCATGAATGTTTTTCAGCAACCATAAGATGTAGAGAGATGAATTTTCGTACCTAACAAAACTGTGCAACTTTGTTTAGTGACTTTCACTATATGTAAGACATTTGTGACTGGTTTTCAGTTACAATCAGTAGTTGGTGTTCAAAACAATAAGATTAAAAGTCCTAGATCCATTTGGTTATTAAAAATGTAATTTCAAAGTTTGTCCTTCCCTCCCCTCCCCTCCCCTCCCCTCCACCAACCTTAACATGATTCTTTTCAGGTTCATCAGTTAGTACAAACAACTCAACCTGTGTATTTGGAACAAGTCAGTTAAGTATCTGCCAAGACACATCCTCCGTTTCACTCTAGTGCTAAAGCAAAAACACAAACATGTACAGAAAAGATGAAAATACCTAGAAACAAAGAACTAGGTAGTAGGGATGTGAAGGACTAGTCGACTATCTGATAAGCAGATGCCTATTAGATAGTTGACATGGTAGTCAACTGAAAAAGGCAGCAAGAAGGGGGAAGCAGGGGGTACTTGAAAGCAGCAGCACTACCTGAATTCTGGGTCCAGATCCCGGGCTCCACAAGGCACTGCTGCTTTGAAATGCTGCGTGCAGCCCGGGGCCAGCTGGGGTGTCCCCAGGCTGCACACAGCATTTCAAAGCGGCGGCACCACATGGAGCCTGGGATCAGCAGCGGAGCCCCCAGCAGGGGAGTCTGGGCTTTACATGGCACTTTCACCTTTGAAAGGCAGAGGCACCCTATCGACTAATCGAACAGTCGATGCAAAATGCATTGACTATTTGATTAGTCGATAGTTAACATCCTTATTGGGTAGGCAGCTGAAAATTACTACAGTACTTACTGTCCAAAAGCCTTTTTGTGGTTTTTTTTTTTTTTTAAATCCTCTCAACTCCACCATTTTTCCCTCATGCAACTGTTTAGGCTTGTCAAAAATATAGCTGCGACTTTCCCAAGGCCGGGCATTTAAGAAATATTTACTTGAACAGCACTAGCACTATAATGGCCAATCGTATTAAGCTTTAGAAACAAATATTTTATGAAGAAAGTCAAAGAGATCCACTTGTTACATTAGAGGCAAAAATCTCACTCATAATAAATTGAATGGAATCCTCACAGTGTGGTTGGCCCCATCTCAAAAAAGATATTTTAGCATTGGAAAAAGTTCAGGAAAGGTCAACAAAAGTGATTAGGGTTATGGAACAGCTTTCGTATGAGGAGGGATTATTAAAATTGGGACTTCTTAGCTTGGGAGAGGACTACCGTCTATAAAATCGTAATAGGTGTAGAGAAAGTAGATAAGGAAGTGCTATTTACTCCTTATAACACAAGAACTATGGTTTACCAAATACAATTTATAGGAAGCAAGTTTAAAGCAAACAAAAGGAAATACTTCTTCACGTAGAACAGAGTTAATCTGTGGAACTCTTTGCCAGATGATATTGTGAAGGCCAAGACTAACAGGGTTCAAAAAAGAATAAATTCATGGTTAGATCCATCAATGGCTATTCCATAGCCTCTATTTGTCAGAAGCTGGGAATGGATAACAACTGATGGATCACTTAATGGGTATCTGTTCTGTTCACTCCCTTGAGGATACTGACATTGGCCATTGTCGGAAGACAGGATAGTGGACAAGATAGACCTTGGCCTGACCAGTATGGCTGTTCTTATGTTCTAATGTCTATGCTGGCTCCTATAGCAGGGCATGGATACCCAAGATAGGGAGCAGGGAAGGGTGAGTGTGTGGGGTATACTAGGCTTGGGCAAACCTCACGGCAGATGGACCTTTGGGACTGTGAGCTAGCACAAGAGCAACTGCCAGGCTAGCTATGACCAGGAATAGGGTAGAGTGTTATGAGCAGGGCTTGACAAGTGGCAGCAAGCCCCACTCACCAGCTGCGTGGTTTGGCACACTGTGCATGCGCTGATCGTGCTGCACCGCTGTGCCAGGCTAAAATCTACTCGCCATGGGCAAGTAGATTACCCTAATTGTTGAGCCCTGGTTATACGTGTTCATTCAGTGTTATCTGTCTTTGTCTTCCCCCTTTGGTTTGATTCTATGGTGGAAAAAGCTCTTCTTCTCTCTTCTGAATATTCAAGTTTTCATAATTAAACATATCAGAACTCAAATATCCATATTCTGAACTAATATTCAACTGCCTTACTTATGCTATCTAGAGAACACCCTCCAGTTATTACTTAATACTTTAAAAAGGATGTAAATTTGAACTGGGTGTTGAATGTTGCCTAGCAGTGTTTAAATTCAGTATGAACCTTTCCTCTCACTGTAAGACAGTAGGTCTCCTTCAGGACCAAAACAAAGTCTGTTGAGTATCATTGAACCTTCCTCTCCAGAAAGTAGTAACTTTACACTGTTGGCTATGCAGTAGCAGATCTACTCTCAGTGCTGTGCATGTGTCATATGTGATGTTGGCAGACAAAGATACAGGGGGGAAATAAGCTGTTCAAATACAATAGGAAAAATGCTTCTGATTTAGAAAAGGTATTGAAAAGGAAATACATTTCAAATCCTGGACAGGGCTGCCTTTAAAAAAGTTAGTGACATTTCAGAGATAACTAGGTAACTACATTTAAAAAACAAACCCCCACGCTCCCCCCCCAAAAAACCGCAATAATACCTGGATGTTTAAAAAGGATTCCTGTCCCCCTGAAAGTACCATTTTTTAAAATGACTTGACTACACCTGCTCCCCACTGCCAGTTTCCATGGTTTTTCAATCACAATTCATTTTTAAAGTGTGTTCCCCCCTCATCTCCTATATGAAGGCAGATGATTAAACAAGAGCAACTGTGAGAATGATCATAAAGCATGATCTGCTGCATAAACTTTAGGAAACATTACTATGTCTGAAACACTGAGAACTTTAGGTATTACATGGAGCACAAGTAGATAAAAAGTTTAAAATAGCAGTGTAGTCTAAGTTGATGGTGCTGCTTTAAATTATAAATTCTGGTAGAAAAATCAATGTTTTCAAGCATTACTACTGGCTAATAGAGCCACTGCCTTTTGAGGAACTAAAAGCTAGTACTATTAAGACAGTTAAATTGCTTTTTAAAAAAAATATTTTGAAATAAAGCATTCTTTGGTGTATTAGTTTGGGTATTTAACATTACAGCTTCCTAAAAAAATCCATACAAAAATAAGGAAGGGTATCCAAATAAACAGAAAAGTACAATGTTATGAGAATAAAATCTTGCCTTCCCAAGTTTGCTCTCTATTGGAGACCGAGACCAGCTTGGATGGACAACAGTTAATTAAATATTTAGAAGCTTCCGCCACATCTTCACTTCTTATGGTGGCCAGTAGCTTAGTGATTGCCATCACAACTACAAGCATGCTTCATACCCACTAGTAAGCCCTCTTTACAATAGAGAGTTTCGATATTTACACCTGAGTCTAGATTTACAAGGTTTTTTTTTAACATGTGAGAAAATGATTAGAATTAGAAAGCTGAACTGTTTGTCAAGCATCTTCAACAGGTCATTTTCTTCTACAAATTAAGAAGTGTTTGCCTGCTAAATATTAGCTGCGTTTTGCAGTTAAAAATTATTTTCTTTCAAAGAAATGTCATTAAGTTACATAGCAATATTCCTTTGTCCCCCACCAGCATCATCTTCAGCACTGTTCACTTCATTTTGCTTTAACGTAGCACTGTCCTGGTTCTTGGTATGGATTGACCACTGAAATGATAAAACAGATTTATGAGAAATAAAAGCCATACAATTTGAAATTCAAAAAGCAAAGCAAGTGCAAAATCTTTCCAACATTTCTGCCAGTGTAAATTACAGTAAGCATAATATTACAAAGAAACAAATGTAAAGAAAAAGACTGGAAACATTTATAGATAATACTTTCAATTATAAAGAAAGCAGACTGCTGGCTGGATTACAAAGAGTAGGAAAAAAGCCTTTGTAAAGAAAAAGCAGAGGATTCAAAGTACCATAATTTCATTAAGTGCATTTGCTGTAAAGCATTCCTTTTTTTCCTTTCCTCCCTCTGAGGTATCAGACTGTGGGAAAAGTAGAAAAGAATGGAAAGAAATATTAATTTTTTTAAAGCTAGAATTAGATCACATACAGACAAAGCTTTGTAGTGCTGCATGCAATGCCATCTTAAAGGAGCAACTCCCTTCCATGGTGAAAGCACATTGGGTAAGTGTATTCCTGTTAGTTTTTATGACATGCTTTTCTGATGAGAAAAAAGCTGAGACCTATATATAAACTGTTGCACATATTTCCCCTTTGCATAATGATTCCTATAGACCAATTTCACCGACACCCCCAAATCCTCACTACACACACTAGTTCCTCTTCTAAATTGCTATCAAAGGAGCTTCAGCACTTGTTAAATACATGCCACACTAACAGTGTAATGGGTGGAACAACAGATTGATTTCTATCTATTTTGAAGGGAACAGGGGTCAGTTAGTATCTTTACTTCATTCAGCTGGTGTTGAAATTTTGCAAGCACCTACTGGATAGGTTACAAGGCAGGGAGGTTGGAGATGGGAGTCTTTTTCCTGGCTCAGTTTCTGACTTGCTTTGAACTCAATGACTGAAAAGCAGTCCAAGGATTACCAGTATTAGGATTACTCCACTTTTTTTATTTCAAGATGGGATCATTATTAAATGTTGCCTCTACTATAAATGATCCAATTAAACAGATTAACAATAAGAATGTGAGGAGTGTCTGCCTTTTGGAAGGACGAGAGAGAAGATGATGAAATTTCACACCAAAAAAAATCTGATAAATGCACATTGTAAAATGTGAACTCTGACCTGCCATTTATGGATCAATCTACAATAGCCAATGGAACAAGTCAGTTAACCTAAGATCACAGAGCAGATTGTGACCTTAGGCAGTAATATGAATGAATGTTAGGCTGTAACATGAATCCCCTAGATTCCCATTGCATTTTCCCATCCACACTACAAAGTCCCATGTTAATGCACAAATACTGGACAACCAGGCACTGACACAATATATATAAGTATAGATGGCCATCTGAAGGAAAAGGCATGAGCATTTTACATATTGACTTAATTGAATAATCATGAAATGGCTACATAAATCTCATCAGAAAACCTGAAGTAAATATTGTACAGTAGTTATAAAATGTTATGTTAGGGAGTCATTCTAGATCCACTATTGAACAAATTTCTTCACAGTCTGAAGGATGATGGAGGACTGAAATTTGAGGCTATAATGCTAAGAATAATAAAAAAAATTCATAGCATGTGATTCAGCTACAGCAAAACTGAAATCTGAAGAAATCAGTGCAATCAATACCTATAAATAAAATGAGATTCGATGACAAATGGAAACAGTGATCATATATGAAAGAATATAAAACACACATATCACATAAAAGAATACTGGTTAGGCAGTGATGTTCAAAGAATCCGAGTGTACATATTGGAAGATAAAGTGTACATGGATAAAATAATCTCTCACAAAAGACATGATGAGTTAGGTTAAAAGCAACATAGTATTATTGACAGAAGTGAGAATTGTTCTCATCTACTCTGAATTTATCAGGCTTCAATTGAAATAATGCAGTCAATTTGAGGGACCACTTTTTTTTTTTTTTAAAGACAAAGTTGAATGAACTTCAGGAAAAAAGGATGGAAAAGTCAGTGTGTTTCTCATTTTGTTTTGTTTGAATAGACTAATGGTAGCTCCATGATGTTACCCAAAGATATGCATATTCTTTATTACTCAGAGCTGAAAAAGTCCTTATTTCGGAGACAGACTGGCTCCAAATAAGAATTCTCTAGAGGCTAAAGGTATATAAAAATGCATCCCTATTGTACAGAAGACATTCTTTAGAATTCCCATAACAGGGTATAAATTTAATCATATGCTGCTTAGAGTAAACTACCACCAAGCAGCCTTTTTGGAACAGAACACTGTTTGAGGAGTCCTGTGGCACCTATAGACTAACAGATTTATTGGAGCATAAGCTTTCGTGGGCAAAGACCCCTTCGTCAGATGTGGTCTTTGCCCACGAAAGCTTATGCTCCAATAAATCTGTTAGTCTATAGGTGGTGCCACAGGACTCCTCATTGCTTTTGCAGATTCAGACTAACATGGCTACTCCTCTGATACTTGAAAGGATGATGACACACTCAGATGGCACTATTTTGCTTTGAGATATCTTTAATGGCTGGATGTGGTCATCAACTGACAGAAGCAATATGGTCTCAAAGTTAAGTATAAGACACGATCAGATAACAGTTTAAATGAAAAATTTGGGACAAGATTCAGAAGCAGTGTCAGAAAGTCAAATTACTAATAATCTACAAAATTAGTGCTCATTTATTAACTGATTAATCCCTCACCAGTAAGAATACAAGTCTTTTCTCAGAGCCATCAAGCCAGGTTTGTAAATGATTTTTCCAAAGTGGCAGAACTTCTTCACATAATTATCAGGTATTTTTCACTGAGACAAATAAGGAAGGAAGGAAATGAGGAATGCCTGCTGTTCTCTAGAGGAAGGATCTACTTATAAGGATGATTTCCAGAAACTGAAAGATATGTCACTTAAAGGACAAATAGCTATAGAGGAAAGTGGCTCAAAAACAGGGGAAGCATCAAGAATCTAAGAAGTAGCCAGAACCAGAGAAGTCAGCATGAACAGAAATCTGTACTGATAAAAACAGTGCAGTCAAGGAGAACTAATCAAACCAAACAAATACTAAACATACTGTTTCATAAAACTGGCATTTAAGGTGAGGTTAAAACATTGTTTTTAGCTTTTAATTTTCTGTTAACACAAATAAAATTGTACCCTGAAAATTCTCTCTGTTACATCAGAAGTGTCCTGCAAGCTATTTGATACAGTGTTTCAATCTTTTCCCCAATCATTAGGGGATTGGTTTTGTTTGTTATTTTAAAAATAATTTGCATTTCACTTTAAGGATGAGGACAGGAGGGAGAGAAAAGGAGAGCCTATGGGACAATGCTACATACTAAGTTTGTAATCATGGCATATAAACACCAACTCATCAGTCCTAGTTTTAAGTCTAATGATTCACTCCTCCCAACAAAATAAGGCTCTTCTCTTCAGCATTTATGGACCGAAATAATTAAAACTTATTTACAAGCACAAGATAAAAAAATTGTCATTTGCAAGAATCAAAAACTTATTTGAAAATACTGTATAAACTCCAGATTGTGCAATCTACAGATCTGACCTAGAACCGCATCTCCATTTCCCACACTACTTGGTGTGTGTGTCTATATCTGCATACTGCTTTTAGGAATGGATAGACACGAGCTTGTGTGGCAGCTGTCAGAAGTATATACAGGCAGTCCCCGACTTACGCGGATCCGACTTATGTCGGATCCGCACTTACGAACGGAGCTTTCTCGCCCCGGAAGTCGGGGCGAGAAAGCCCCGTTCGTAAGCTGCTCCGGTGCCCCTGGTCTGCTGGAGACCGTCTCCAGCAGACCAGGGGCACCGGGCGGGTTCCCGCGCTTCTGAGGCTTTGCCAGAGCAAAGCCTCAGAAGCGCGGGAACCGCTGCTGCTGCCCCTTGAGACCCGGTGCCTGTGGTCTGCTGGGGACGGTCCCCAGCAGACCACAGGCACCCGGACTGAAGCGCTGACACCAGCCCTGCTGGTCCACGGCGCTGCTTTGGTTGGGGGGAAGAGGAGAGGCAGGGAGAGGACAGCGCAAGAGAGGGAAGAGTAGAGCAGAGGTGAAGAGGAATGGTCCTGACCCTTCCCTGTGTTGGGGGAGGAGTTGCATGGCTGGTGGTCCCCCAGATGGCCTCTGACCATTCCCCTGTGGTAGAACCGCATGTGAGCACATGACCAGAGCTTCTCTGAGCTGCCATTTCCCCAGCCAGAGGGAGTAGGGGATGACATCAGAATGAAGAACCACTTCCTCTCCCCTGCTAGGCAGAGCCCGTGGGCCCGATGCAGCCTGTAACTTGCATTGATCCAGCCTGTTACGCTTGGGATTCCGGACTCCATAGCAGGACAAGCCAGCTCTGGCTTGCTCTGTTGTGGGAAGAGAGAGCCCAAGCCTCGTGGGCCGGATCAAGACATGCCGCATGCTGGGCCATAGGTCCCCATCCCTTTAACTAGATACAAATTTAATCACTAGCAGAACTTAAAATTATCGATAAGGTGAACTGATTTCGAAAGAACATGGTTTTCAAAGAAGAATAAATAAATTAAAACTAAATAAATATTTAGCTACCAGATTGCAGAAAATATCTCAAAAGTAAGTGACATGTTATTGCATATACAGGCAGTCCCCGACTTACGCGGATCCGACTTACGTCGGATCCGCACTTACGAACGGGGCTTTCTCGCTGCTCCGGTGCAGGCAGAGTTGCTCTGTCCCGGGCTTCCTGGAATCAGCTGCTGATCAGTTTCAGCAGCAGCTGACTTGGGGACGCCTGGGGTTCTTAAGTTGATTCTCTATGTAAGTCAGAACTGGCGGTCAGTTTCAGCAGTGTCTGAATCTGGACGCCAGTTCCGACTTACATACAGATTCAACTTAAGAACAAACCTACAGTCCCTATCTTGTACGTAACCCGGGGACTGCCTGTATACACATCATACCCATGTGCTTACACACCAGAAAGCACTCACGCTCTTCTTCAAGACCATGCCACATTTTTAATTCCCCATGTACTTCTACAGTAGACTACCTACTTTAAATTCTGAATAATTTTCCCCACTATAAAAAAAAAAACTCATTACCAGTGCTATATTTTTACACACACACACACACACACACACACACACACACCCACAAAGTACTTCCTATCCCACTGTGATACTAAGCCAGCATGCGTCTATGTTTTTTCTCATATCTCGAAAGTGGTCAGTCTAATTCCTTTTCAATTTTATATTTCTCTTTCCTTGCCAGGAAAAGGAAGAGTCCCTTCCTCCAAAGAGAACTGTGAAACATTGTCAAGTGTTTCCCTCAATATTGAGGATGCTCTCTTTTCCACCTAAGACAAGGAAATAGATCTTTTCTATGCCAGATATTTGGTTTCAATTATCCATGTTCTTTCATCTTCCATAATGAGCAGAACTTTTAGTGTTTATTTCTTTTTGGACGGCTAGACTAACAGAAAAAAGGATGAAAAATTTGATCTTAAAGGAGTAGACAAGCAGTAGAGAGGATATATTTATGAATATTTGACAAGTCAGTTCTTGGTATATGACAGTGTGGTGGAAGGAAGGATGCAGGGGGGAGTTGAGAAACAGTACAATTGCAACAAAACAGAAATGCAAATGGCAGTATCTCACCAATTTTTAAACAATTGTTTCTGGAGATCTTTCTTCAAAATAGCTGTAGCTATTGTGATAGGAACTATTAAGTCAGCAAACCCCTAAATTCAGTAATCTTAAATTACACATAACAATCACAATACAAGTCTTCTGGTTTCCAGAATTCACTCTGGAATGTATGACAAGAGATTCAAAGCTCCAGTACATGATACATTTTAAAATATTTTAGTTAATTCCTTGTTACTAGAAAACTAATATTCTCTGAGACAAAGTCCATCACCAGTAATGGACACACCAGCTCAAAACAGTGACTCTCACCTTTTTAAACTGCTTTTTCTTGCAGCAGACCTGGTAGTTCTTTTAGTAATGTCTGCACTGCCAGAAATGCTAGGTTCAGATGTTTTACTTTTCTGAACACTGGATTGTAGAATTACTCTGAAAAGAGTAGGAAAAATAAATTATATAACCTGAAAGTTTTCCAGAAAAAAAACTGACAAGAAGGTATAATATTGTAGCACAAAGAACAGATATATCAGTATAGGTGTCATATGGCTTCTTGAAGAAGGCTTCTTTGCAGACTGAGGTATACAACTTCCCCTAGATAATGCTTTGTTAGTAATTAAGTTAATTCTTGCAGTATTACCAGTTTATTTTTATTTTCCAGGATTTGTATGCCATTCAACAAGATTTCCAAAGTGTTTTTCTTTTTGCATTACTACCTTTTTCGGGAAAGGGGGAGAAGGTAGAATGAAGTAAACAAAAAGCTGAATGTGTTTTGTAAGGGGAAAAAGGAGCAACATGAAAAGCTTAATAGAGAAACAAATGTTATTTCCCCACAAATGACATCTCGACAGAAACAGAAGGAATCACAACTCTCAACAACTCCTAAGGTCAGAGTCCAAATCTTCAACTCCCAACGTGTTCACTTGGAACACAATCTGGAAAAAAATTGGTTACTTTCAAACACAGACAGTTTTGAGTTGACAATGCTGGTATTTTGCTATTAGAGAACAGGGCATTTAGAGAACATTTGTGGCATTTCAAAAATGCTGTCTACCTGACAGCTCTCAGTAGAGTCACTGGCAACAACAGGCACAAAACACTCTTAAAAAAATCAAATCACTTGTTCCCTTTGCCATATCCTCCTCTCTTTCTCTTTTGTTTTGCCTTACCACACCCTACCAGGTTTCTGCTGGAACTAAAAGCTAATGAATGGAGAGACTTTTTAAAAAAAGTTACTCCATATAGTATCTGTTGGGAGGGTGAAAAAATTAATAGGTTTAGAATGGCATTTTTGCATTAGTGGTTCAGGATTCAGCTATAGTGTTACTCTTAAACATGCTTTTTTCCTTTTGTTTTGTAGTTTGGGAAGACAGGGTCCAGTTGAGACCAGCATTATCTTTGATATATAACCATTCTCTTTCTCTCTGTTCCGCAGCCTAGGAAACCAGATAAGTATAGAGCTATTCTACTTTGTTGTGATTCTTGCTAATCCTCATTGGCTCTGCATAACATCTTCAGGGTCAACTTTCTTGTAATCTCTGTAACCTGTTTGCTGATTTAATTAGAAATTATACAAATAGTAATTAGGGGCATATTAATATTAATTTTATGGGAGTTAACATTACTAAATAAGGTTTTAGGAAAAGTAGTGATAGACGTGAGCATTAATTAACATACTAAAATAGATAAAAGGTTCTGACAATTCAGGGCCACTTGGACATTGTGTTGAATGTCTGAGGTAAACGTGCGTAGGCAATAAAGCAGTTCCTTTTACCAATGTGGATAAGCCCAAAGCATATCATTTTCTGCTTAGCTTGTTTGAAGGAAAACACCACATTCTGCAACCAAAGGGTCAAATATTTATTTTTTTGTATGCATAGTGACTTTTGGCAAAATTACTATACTGAAGAGGTAAATAAGAGGTAAAATGTGTCCACTACTGCTTGTTCACAAACATTATTAGTGAGCTTCTCTTGGGTATTATTCTTTCTATCTGTTCTATTATGATATAATTGGATTTACAGACCCCATGCTAAACCAGAGGAGTTTTGGGCTAGGCAGACCCCATCCCTCAACAGCTGCAAGGGCGTATTCTGCTTGTAGGGATAGTTTAGAAGGACTCTGGTGATCTAGGAGCAAGGTAGAAGTCCACCAGGAAGTCAGGATGATGCCTGGAGCTGCGAGAGCAGCAGACACAGCATCTCTAAGGCTACTCTGGAAGCAGGGATCCTGATGATTCTCTTCCCCTTTGAGAGGAAGAAACCTACAAAAGACTAAAGAATGAGACACTGTTCCACTGACACACTAAACAGATTCTCCTGAGCCTGTGACCATGCCCAGGGGAGCCACAGTTTGGTAGGAAGCAAGCCAGGGGGAATATAACTTGGGGTGAGAACCAGTAAAAATTTAAAAAACAATGCATGGTGCTGCAAAACCTTGGGTCCAGATATGATAATGCCTCTCTAGGCCCTAGGACCCTCCATCTTGCTCCCCCATAACTCTGCCATGACAGAACCTTAAGGGGAGTGGAAAATATCCTAAGAAGCGATAGAGGCTCTTTACACATGACTTAGCCAGTGCCCGCTCTGGAATGATCAGGCCAGAAAGAATGAGGAAACCACTGTCATACCACTAGGCCAGCTGCCTATCAGGCTGCAAGATCTCTTAGTTTCATGGGCTTTTTCATTAACTGCAGACCACATTTAATGATGGAGGGGTAGTATGTGTTAAAAAGTTATAACCATGAAGAGGAACCTGATAAAGCTGGAAGGGCCAGTTTGAAGTTCACTGTATTGATACTTGGGAGTCAAAGTTTCTCACCAGCTCTAGCCATTCCTTATTAATAAGGCTCACTATACTCCCTAGTGAGGAGTATCTAGAATATAAAAAACAGTGGAATTCTTCTTTTACCCCAGAGAACTATGTTTAAAACAGTCCTCTCATGCAGAATAATTGCAGAAACTTTAATAATTTCCAAGGGTTATACAGAAAGATCCCATTTTTTTCTGGAGAAAATTCTTCTGATGAAGAAGGCTGCCCTAGAAACAGACTCATCCCCAGAGAAGTTAAATAACTGCAGTTGGAGCCTGACGTCTGGAGAATGGAAGGAGCTAGGCATTGCAATGAATCTCTGCATAAGGAGAGCCCAAACCTCAGGAGATATTACTGGGAATGAACTCCCGCTAAAGCGGAGAGAGAGAGAATGAGGAATGGTTTTCAAGTGTCAAAAGACTTACACCTCTTGCACAGTGACAGCACTGACCTGTAACAGAACAGCTAACAGATCACTGAGAGAGGTAAACAGTACCAAGCCATTACCTGACTCTCCCTTTGCTTTAATTTGTCCCCATCAATAATTCTCTCTAATCCAAAAATTATTTGGTAGAGAGGAATCCCTTCGTACACTTGCCCTCAGGTCCAGAACTCTGTCTGCAAGACTAATGTGAATAGGACCAAAAAGAACAGTCGACAGTGAAAAAGAAATGCTCTTAACTATTAAAAATGGAGAAGCAACCAGCTCCAGTTAACAACTGCCAAGAAAGCAAGGAAGGGTAAATCAAATATCCAAACAGTACCTACTTTGGAGTCATTGCCAAATCTCATTGAGTTTCCGTACTCAGAATGGTTCCTCTACCAATGGACAAATATTTGCCTCTAGCCTTTTCCATCGACAGAAGTTGATAGATGCTTCAGCACTCTCTCTGTTCCTGACTTTGGGTGTGCTGGAAAGTGAAAGCCACACAATCGGCACACTGCCTGACCCTTCTGCAGGCACCGGAAATGCTGGTCAGTTAGCAGCATCTTAGCACTGACATACAACTTTAAAAAAATTTTTACAGCAGATATTTTATCTCCAAACTTAGATTTAGGAATCAGATGGTGTGGTCTTCAGCACCTGTGGCACACATCCTAAGTTGAATACTGCCACTTTTCCCACAGAACCATACAAAGGAGAGGAATGAAATTAACACTGACTACTGTATTAATACCAACGCAAACATTCACCCAAACAACTCTCATGATACCCTAAGTTAATGGAAGAAAATGCCTGGAGTAAAAAACGCTGCAGATTCCAAAATATTTAACATTTCTTTGTGAGCTATGTTGAATTATAAAATATTACATACATTCTAAACATTCATATTAAAAATAAATTGTGTCTGCTCACTGCTGTGGTACAATCGTTACGATGTGAACTGATCCACTGCCACTTTGTTAATTCAGTTGTCTCCAAGCACGCAATATTAATAGCGCAGAATGCCGGCACTCTCCCTCCATCAAACTAATCACTTCAAAACTCAGCTAAAACAAACGACTCTGCCTGCTCTACAAAAGTATCACTCTTAAATATGTCTATGGCCAAAGCATGTTACAACATGGTCTACTCCTACCTGTGTGGACAGAAAAAATTATTTTAGTGTTAGCAGGGCTTAAATATTAACAATGAAGCAGCATAAGCAATCTTTCCATTCCACATAAAAATAAAATTAGAACATCTTCAGAAATGCCAGTATGTGAGTAGAAAAACTAAGCAGCTAATGCAACATCAAGGTTGTGTGACAGACCCAGGGCAGCTGGCTACAATAGTTTGGTGGAGGGCAGACATGGTAGGACAATGGTTTTTTTGTTTGTTTGTTTCCTGAGTGAACTGCCAGAGACTGCTGCCACATAATCAAGGCAAGTACCTGAGACTAATTAAGAACTTGCCTGAAGTAGCAGGCTAATCAGACAACTGCAGCCAATTAAGACCTGTGGGGCTGCTTTAAAAGGCTTCTCCCAGGTCAGGGAGAGTGTTGGACTGAGAGGAAGAAGTGGGTTGCTGAGAAAGGAAAGATTCACTCAGGTACCAGGGGAGTTTTTGGGGAAGTGGCCCAGGGAAAAGTCTGCTTTACTGGGGCCAGAGGAAAAACCCTTTCAGTTGCCTCTACGTGGGTCTCTGGGCCAGGACCTAACAGACAAACACAAGCTCAGCACACTGCAAATAAACTCCCCCCTCACACACACTCCAGACAGCCACTTACCACAAGGGTCCTGTTTTTACTCCTCTTTTACCTGGAGAACTCCCTCTCTAAACTCTCCTGTTAGCTGTTCCTGCGACTAGTAAACTATCTGATAAGCAAATGCATATCGGATAGTCAAGTAGCCACTTGATTAGTCTCTTCCTCCTCCGCCCTTGCTTCCTCAATTAAGGAGGCAGCAAGGGGGCGGGAGGGAGGAGCAGGAGCCAGTGTTGGGAGGAACCAGCTTAAAGCAGGGAAATAGCACCAGCAGGGCTGCTTCAGTCCCTGCTTGCACTGGTTCCCACTGCCAGCGCTTCTGCTTTTGAAATGTACAAGAGCCCTTCACTGGCTCTTATTACATTTAAAATGCAGAGTAGCAGCGTCGGTGGCTCTGGAGCCAGCTCCTGGAGCTACCTCTGCTGCCACTCTGCA